CATCTTCCCAGAGACACAGATGGTCCCAAACACTTTGGATGGCTTGGGCATCACCTAGTGCCACACTGCATCACAGACCTCAGGGCACTGAGCAGGCAGAGGAGAGGAAAGTTTGTAATTTTGTCACTTTGTCATCTCATGGCACAGGCTGCTGGACACACCAGGGTTGTAGGAAATGCACTTTAGACTCAGCCTGCTGCAACTGAGCTCTTCTTCCTTCATCTTAAGCATCATTACTGGTCACTGCTGAAGAGGGAGCACAAGGAGATGGACACATTTCTGTGGAAAACTCTCCCTTCCAAGCAGAAGATGCTCCTGCTGCCAGCAAAGACTGGAGGAGCTCCACATCCAGAGCTGCTTCATTGCAATGCAGTTCCCATCCACCTCTGGATGAGGGAGACAACTCACCATGAAGCCAAGGGGTGTTCAGGATGGACCAAATTAGGCACCAGAAGCAAGCCCAGCTCATACACAAAGCCCTCTTTAAAACCTTGCTTTTCTTCCACGTCATTTTCCATGGACAAGTGACCCTTCCTGCCTCACACCGCAGAGCAAGCAGATGCTGAAGGTGAACCAAGTCACTCCCTGCAGGAAAAGAGTGAAAGGAAAACGAATCAAAAAAAGGAAATCAAAATCAATATTACAAAGTCAAATAATAAAAATTGTGTTATGGAAACAAAGGTCACCCAGGGAAAAATGTAATTGGACACGACAGCCTAGATTTCCCCTCCCTGCCAATCCCAGGTGGGGAGACCTTGTGCCCAAGCCAAAGTGTCACCTGGCCGTGCTGCTGGAGCTCCACAGGGTCTGTGCAGCTGTCAGCAGCTGCAGGGAGGGAGGATGGAGGAGAGAAACCTGGGGGAGCTGCAGGCAGCCTGGCCTGAAATAGCAGAGGTCCTGCAGGGCAGGAATGAGCTGTGCTGGCAAATCCACCTGGGGAGCCCAGCGGGGAATAAAGGAGCCTGTGGCAGGTCAGGAGGGAGATGTGCTGAATAATCCTGAGGGCTGCAGGAGATCCAGCCTTGGGAAAGGCAGCACTAGCACAGGGATGTGCTCAGAGGAGAGGGAATGTGTTTGCTTTCAGTGCAAAAAGGTAACTTGGGCAAAGCCAGCCTCTGTGTGCCTCAGTTTCCCCTTTTATAAAATGGCTCTTTTACCTTTTCAATCAGACAGGGGAGGCACAGACACCTCTGGAGCTCATTAACAAACACAGATATGAACATGAGCCAGTGATTCTCACCCAGCCCCTCCAAGGTCTCTCTCCTGCAGGGTGACAGGCTGCAATGCCTCATGCAAATCTTCTTTTTGGTCCTCCTGGCCTTGAAGGAGGGTCTGACCGACCCCCAGGTTGCTCCCATTATGCTGCACAAGCCCTGATACATTTCAGAGAGCATTGTAAATGTGGGGCACGTCCCTCTGATAACGATGCAAACTTCAAACCATTATTCCTCAGCCCACAGCATTTCTCTTCATCCTCAAGCTGGTGCTGATGGGTTGTTTGGTGCAGTTTTTTCCTTCCTTCCTTTATTTTATTTTATTTTTAAACTTGACCTCCTGATTCCTCCCGGGAATTTACATTGGATTCTTTTTATTATTACTTTCTTTCTTTCTTTTTTATTTTTATTTTTTTTTGTTTTGCTTTGCACAAAGTCAGCAGCAGGGAGATAAACTTCCCATGAAGTCTATTTGCCAACAAAGCTTTCTTTAGCACAGCAGACAATAGGAAAGCAAAACAAATGCTCTGGCTGGACATGACATTTCCAGCACCATGGTGACCACGTTGCTGCTCTCTGTCCCCCCACAGCTGGCCCAAGGGTGACCTTCAGCTCCATAAAATTCTGATTTTCTTGTCAGCTGAGAGCCTGCCTACCTGGGCTGGGGGGGTCCCACTGCAGGAACTGGAGCTTTTCAATTCTTTGGCAGAAATCTCAGCAATCTCCTCTCCAATTGCTCCTAGCAGCTTTGTTACCTTGTTTTGGCCTTCAGTGCTTCCCTGCAGGTTTTGGTATCTGGGGGATGGCTCCTGAATGCTATGGGGGCAGCTGGAGTTAACCAAGGAATAAGAAAAGAGTAAAAAAGTCACTCAGCCTTCAGTACAATTAGCATGAGACCAAATCCTGTTTTCCCCCCAGGTTAAAGGGCAGGGTTTAGCTCAGCTTCTGATAAAGTTGACACTGCTGTGGTCAGGATGGCAGAAAAGCCAGCACCCAGCACATTTCAGATGGACATCAAGACTCATTTCCTTGTGGCTGAAACAGAAGTGAGATAACCCCTCAGCAAGCTGGAAAAGCAGTAAAAGCCAAACTTGAAGGAAACCCAAGGGATAAAATCAGGGAATCAGCCTGGTTCCCTTCCAATAACAAAAAAAACCACAAAAAACCAAAAAACAAAACAACCCAAAAAAACCCCAAAACACAAAAACCCCACCAAAACCAAACTGATTTAACTAATAATAATATTTAACTAACAATATTTAACAAATAAGTATCCATCTGACTGGCTGAGTGGGGAGAACCCTTTTGTAAAGGGGATTTCTCCCCTGAGACCCCCAAGTGCAGGACGCAAGGAGAAGGCAGTGGGGAGCTCTACCTGCCAGCCCTTGGCCACAAATAATTCTGTATAAATTGGGCCTCCTCCCCAGATAAACAGGAGCCTGTGCACTGCCTGCATCACCCCCTGGTGGGTTTGGGTTTGCAAACACAAGGAGCTGCTGAGGCTGTGGATGGGAGAGAACTGGAGAGAGTCAGGAAGGGGAACAGGATTGCTCCCTGTTACACAGGGATGCTGCTAAGGGATAATGGGGAGCAGCAGCAGCACCTCTGTGTCTGGGGGGGTCCAGAGAGGCTCTGGACCCTGCAGCAACAAGGCCTGGGGGGCTCAGAACAGCTCTGTGAGTCCCAGCAGTCAAGAACTCAAAAAGGAGCCGGGGCTGGGAAACGCGACTGTGGATCTCAACTGCAACAAAACACACAGAGAGAAAACTACAGATCCTTCTGCTGCTGGATGGGGTCTCCTCCTGAGAGATAAAACCACAGGGAAGCAGCCTGGCACTGCTGCAGGGAGCTCCAGGAGCAGGGGGTGTGATGGGGAGCAGCTGCCCCTTGCCAAAGTTTGGACAGAGCGGGGAGAGGTGGCAGAGCTGCTGTGACTTCATAAAACTTCACCTTCAGCAGAGTCTGCTCATCACCCCATCATCCCTGCCAGCACACAGCAGAAATGGAAAAGATCCAAAGAATTGCAACAAATAGTATCAATAATCCATGAGAAGAGATTAAAAAGACTTAAGGCTATTTAGTTTTAGAAGAAGAGGGGATGGGATAGAGGTGAAAACAAGGAAGGCAGAGGCATACAAAGCATTGATTGAGGTAAAGGAGCACAAATTTGCCCCTGCAGCACCAAAACAGGAGACTTTCAATGCAGTTAGAGGAGGGTATCTCCCAAACCAAGAGCAGGCAGAGCTGCAGGGTGCCCTGCCATGAAAATTCACAGTGGAGTTCAGCAGGATCTCCAAACTGGGCACAAACTGGAACAACAGTGGTGTTGGCCAGGATTAAATTTAATAAGCTACAAACTGTCTTGCCCAGGATTTTGTACCTCTGGGGTCTCTGGCATGGACTCTGTTGAAGACAGGACGCTGGGGTGAGGATATATACCCCTGGGGGTAATTCTTGTACCTTCCATGTTAAATAGCCCGAGGACAGGCCTAGAGCTACTGATGGGCAAACAGGAGCTGCATCTCAGCATCTGCCTGCAATAGATCCCACAAGCATCCTTGAGGGATTGAGAGAAATCCTTTAGAGGACCTATAAAAAAAGCAACAGTGAATAATTACCGTCATCTACAAGGTGTCCTTCATCTTGGACCTCAGAGTGAGAGCCTGTGTCTGGGGAAACTGAGGCACGATGACACAGGTGGCTCCTGCCCACATTGCAGACACAGCTCTCCCTCCCACAGCTGCACACACAGAGAAAGGAAAGCAGGTTGTAAATTCAGGGTGGGTGCTCAAGGAGGCTCAGGGGGATGGAGAGAAGGATCTGGGGGGATCAAGCAGGTTGTAAATTCAGGGTGGGTGCTCAAGGAGGCTCAGGGGGATGCAGGGAAGGATCTGGGGGGCTCCTGTGGCATCAGCTGGGTTGGTTTGTTCCCCTGCCCTGCAGCTGGCAGCATGCCCAGGTGGGTGGGACAGGGGGTCTGCAGCCAGCACAGCCCAACTGTCCCCTGGGATGGTGGCACCTGCAGGAGGAGGGACAGGGCACCCCTGGCACCCGGATCAGCTGCTCCTCATGGTTTGTTTGGAGGGTTTTGCTGGGTTGCTGCAAGCGGCCAAAGCAGAGGAGCAGAGGAGGCCAGTGACATTTATTAAGTATTAATCCCTGCAGTGTGTCACTCGCCAGCCTGTTTGATAGTGCCTCTGTGCTGGCTACCATGGTTTCTCACCTCTCTGCTGCTCAGGACAGGGTTTGCTATGCTTCAGGGACTTGTTGGATATTTTTCCCCCCAGTCACTTTTTCTACCTTCACTTCCTCCTGTCCCACAGCCGCTCTCTCCTCCTGGATCTACCACACAATTTGCTTTGATCATCTTCTCCTTCCCTCTTACCCCAAGCCCCCAACTTTTCCCCAGACACAATCCCCAGTGCTCTCTGCCAGCTCAGCCCTATTTCATCTTTAAACGAGGCTTAAAAGGCTCTTTACAGGGGAAGAAACAAACATTCCTCCTCCCTGTGCACCCGTGGATTCCCTGCCAGCCCAGCCCAGCCCGGAGGCTCCCGGCCAGGCTGGGGCTCAGGGAGCATCACCACAGTGACACCACTTCTGTTCCTCAGCCACCCTCAGGGAAGAGAAAATGAGCAACTGTAGCTTTAAAACAAAGATTAGATGCAATTTTTTCCTCCCCTCTCTCCCTGCCTTTCTCTCTCCTTTTTTAAAGGGAACTTGTCAAGGTTTCCATCAATAATAGATAATGGTGCATCACTCTGGCAGGTTACACCCTCCGGCTGTTTTGATATTTTCCAGAGAATTTGTCAGCAATCTTACAGCAAAGGAGGGCTGGGGGAAGGGTGCTGGGGGGGGGTGAGAGGCCTCATTAATTTTTTGTCATTTGCATTCCTGCTGCTAAATAATGTATTGATTGCTCTTTCTCTCCCCCTCTTTAATTCTCTCTCTTCTGCAGTGTCTCGCAGCCCGTGGCCCTCACTCGGTGACAGATGAGTTTGTCACAGGCACCAGACAGCTCCTGCTCCCTGCACTGGGCTGGGAGAGCTCAATGTGACCCTGGCACCAGCTCCAGGCCTGGGGACACCAGGGGGACACCGAGGACTCTCCCAGAGCAGATGCTGAGACATCCCACTCTTGGGATGTGCCTTGGTTGTTATAAGTTTAAAAATTGGCCAATTTTTTTTTGGAAAAAAGGGTTGTAGAGTGAAACAGTCAAGCCAATTGCTGCCAAGGTGAAGTCCTACCTGCTTGTTACTGTAATCACTGGTTGGTTAATTGCTCCTTTTGTATTGGTAAGGCCCTACCTGAGGATAAGGTCTTCTTCTCCCTGACGGTGAGAGGAGGGGACATGGGGGTGGCATCAGACAGAATGCAAAATAACCTCAGGACCAGCATGCCGTGGGAAGCTACCCCACCAAACTTACCTAAAGGACCCCGAAAACAACAAGCCAACACAGAATTAAGAGATCACAGTGATGTCTAGACATGTGGAACTAAGTACTGGGCCTGCAGAGGTGCTGGAAACCTTTGTTGGCCCTCGCCCTGACAAAGACCTCAGCTGGAACAGAGAGAGCAAGCCTGGAAAGGTCTATAAGTTGAAACACAGGGTACAAACCCATTGTTTTCATGAGGGTGGGACCTCCAGTTCTGCTCTTAGTGGACAAAGCTGTATGTTTTTCCTTCTCTCTGAGTTAGCCAGGGATGACGATGGTGGCTGTGGGTTTGTTGGGCCTCCCAGCCTTGAGCTGATCACAAGTCTCCTGCCCTGTTTATATCGTTGGTGATCCACCTCCACACCCAAGGGCTCCAGGACAGCAGCACAGGGGTCCCAGCACCTTGGATGTCACCAGAGGAGGGGTGACAGCCATGCACAGCCAGGGAAATCAGCCCTGGGGCCCTCTCTGCCAGCCCAGCTCCACCTGCAGCTCTGGGCATCTGCAGGAAGGAGCCATTGGAAAAGCCAACATGGGCAGTTCTTACCTTGGGAGGGCAGGAAAACGGAAATTTTGCTCTTCTCACTTCAGGAATCTGCTTCTCTGCCCCTTCCACAGACCTGAGACACAACCAAGGTCCACTGAGTTGGCAGCTGAGCTAAACAAGAACCAGCATATGATTTGGGCCTTGCTCAGCTTAATGTGGCTTGGCTTCTCTTTTAATTAATAAATACTTAATTACATAGTTAATATTTTAATATTTCCTTTTAAAAAAACCTCTGATTTAACGGAATTACTGCCAGCTATTTGTTTTGTATTACTTTTATGTTTATTTTTCCTCTTTCATTTCTCATTTCACCCTCCAACCCACTGCTCTAATCCCTGAAGCTAACCAGCTGATCTTTGCTACTGGAAATTAGGGAGGAAATTAGCTAGAAATTGCTACCGGAATTTTCCAGGCTTTTACTGGAAATTTCCAGGCTTTTAGGCTTGTCTGGTCTCTTTTAAAAAATGCAGTCTGGTCCTTGGTGCTGGCATCCACCAGCCCGAAGTGTTAATGTGGATTATTAGCACTGGATACCTCTCTGCAAATGTACCAGCCCCTGGGAGGGGAGGAGAGGAGAGGGGAGGTGGGACAATGGGGTTGTTAAAAATTGGTTAGAAACTCCACTGGGAGTGTGGTCCCATTTTTAATGGATGACCCCAAAGATGGGGAGAACTCCGAGGCTGTGTTTGCCTTTCAAACCTTACCTGGCTGATGTCAGGAGCAGCTCACCTGCACCCAGGCCAGCATGGAGAAGGGTTCCAGCTGTGGGGATGTGACCTGCAGCTGGGACAGCTCCTCTCTGCCTCTCCTCAGCCCTTGGCTCCTTGCTGCAGCTCCTCTGGCTCCAGGGTACTGCACACGGTGGGGGGATGCACTGAGAGAGTCCCTGAATTAAAGCAGATATTGCTTCCTGCATCCCCTTCCTCTTCCCTTCCCTAACCTTCCTCTTCCTTCCCTTTCCTTCCCCTTCCCCGGCAGCCCCCACCTCTCAATCACATCTGATCTCCCAAGTCCAGCTCCAAATCCACATTTCCCCAGCCGAGGTGAGCTGAGCCTTACCTGGGCTGGGACATCTCCCCCATCCTCTCTGCGAGCCCATGCTGAGAACAGTGGGTGTTCCCATGAGCAGCCAGTTGGGATAATAAAACAAATAAACAGAAGAGTTACAACCAAGGCACTTGGGGCACCATAAAACAGGCTAAAAGCAAATACAGTATCATTAATCCATCATAAAATAACAGCTCCTTACGATCCTGAATGCATCAAAAATGAACGAGAGACCGGCAGGGCCACAACTCACCCAGGGCTGTGTGGAATGTGAAGCAGGGCTGGAAACAAACCCCAGCCACACATTCAGGGTGTGGCTGAATCAGGGCTCCAGGAAGTCCCACCTCCCTGCCCAGGTGTGTTTAAAACCAGTGACACCAGGAGGAGAGGTGTGCTGATGAGAGATGTGCCCATGCTCCTGCTGCTGGTGGAGCTGGAGATGACAGGGACTCTGTGTCAGGAAAGGAGGAGATGAAACAGATCTGGATGGAAACTTAACAGGGCTCTTTAGTGCTCCATCTTCCCACTAATGAGGGTTCTGCATGTGAGGGCAGGAGAAAAAAAAGCCACCAGGCACTAATAAAGCCCTGTGACTTTGCTGACTGCAGGCGCTGGTGCTAATGAAGTCACCAGAGAGATGGGATTCCTCTGGCAGCTCTGACATTGCACTGTAGAACTGTTATTTTAATTCAGTCGGAGGAAACAACAATAAAAATGGGGAAAAAAGACTGGTGTGCATGCCCAGGCAGCAGCTGATGCTGGTTTGCCTGGTGGCTGGGGAGCCTGGGTGGGAGATGGGGTGGGAATGGGGGTGGTGTGGAGCCATCGAGGGGTGGGATGCTCAGGTCACCCCAGAGCTGGGCTGTGAGCACCCCCTGATGATCCAGGTCTGTGCCAAGAGCCCTGAGGGACACACAGGCAGTGTGAGGTCAGATCCTGCAGAGGAAGGCAGAACAGAGAGATGAACACTTATGGATTTCAAAGCATTCCATAAACGCCACGTGCACCCTCCAGAGCCATCCTAGGGGCAAACACCCAGCAAGAGCCATTTGATAGCCCTGAAGGTAGAGGATTGTTTCCTGGAAGCAATGGCTTTGTACATACAGACATATATTTAAATCCATTTTTACATATTAATATATTAAT